GCCCCGCGGCAGGTGTGGCCAGCTACGGGGTGTGGCTAACCTCCGGTGGTTCGGGGCCAGGACCAGGGGGCAGCGCTGCGCGGGAGGACAGCCAGCCCCAGGAAGGTGGCCTGTCCCTGCCACAGAACACCCAGCCAGACCCAGGCCGACACCAGACACCACCAGGAGCTGCCGAGTTCATGAAGAACCACCGGCCAAGGCAGGCACGTTCCAGAAAAGAAACCAGTGGCAGAGGGGGCACTGAACGCAAACCCAAAGCAAACAAAGCAAAGAACGGGGGTCCGGAGGTGCCGGGGGCGGTACATTTCATAGGAGAGTGTGGCTTTGGAGAGACACGCCGTCTGGGTGGGAAGGACTGGACGGGGCGGGGCAGAAAGCGCGGAAAAGCCACGGTGAGCGGAAATGCAAGACTGGAAAAGAGAAGGCAGAGGCGGGGAGGGATTTTCTCACCCGCGATGCCATTTAAGAAAACGAGATAAAGTTCGGCTTGCACTGCTGTCCAGCCCCGTGGCACCCACCATGCGGCCTCTGTGCCATCCGCTGAGAGAGGGTTGCCAGGCGCGGGGGCCTCGGAATGTCACGCGCTCACGACATGTCCAGGGACAGGGCCTGCTCCTATTAGCAACGAGGCCAAGGCCCCTAGTGTCGTGGGCCGCAGGGGAGTCGCCGTCCTGCTTTACATGATGGGGAACTGGGTGGGGCGCCCCTCAAAACCTCAGCAGGAGAGGGCACCCCGGGAGACGAGGGCTTCCCTGCAGCACCTGCTCTGCCATCGCAGACCCACAGGCATGCAGGGGACGGCGCAGAGAGGCTGGAAGAACTGGGAAACAAGGCTTCCCCGGGCCCCTGCCATTCACGCTTCCTGGAAGTCGCAGGGGAAGTGGCTCCGCAGAAGCTGGGGCACGAGGCAGAGCCTTGCCGGTGAGCTGCCTGGGAGCACCTGGCCCAGGATCTCTGGGTTTCCGGACCCCACCTTGGGCTGGCGTGGGGACTTCTGTGGGTCGCGCGGGGAGCTGGGGGCAGATCGAACCCAGGCAGCAGGGTCCCAAGGCACTGCAGCCGTTGGGAGACCACATGGCTGGACACTGGCGGGGGCCCC